CATTGTAGAAAGTCATTTGTGGTTTGCTCTTCTCTCCACTCGCATATCATGGGCTCCACTTTGTAGCTCCATATCTTAAGATTAGCTCTACATCTTGTGGTACCAGAGTGCAGTCTGCTCACTGCCTTCCAAGTTGCCCAATCTTCTCTGTGCCCAGGAGGGAGTTTCTCATCAGGCATCTGTCACTAATTGAGGTTCTGGGTTTTAACCTGGCCCTTTTTGTATTCTCGCTTGCTGAGGTGTTCCTGCGAGTATCTCTGTAGATCTTAGGAAGTTATTTTTTGATTTAAGGCTTTGGCTTGCTGGCTGATATCCGAACAGAGGATGGGCCGGAGATGTCAATGCCTTGATCCTTTCATTACAGACTGTTACTTCCCGACTGATGTCAGGTGGTTCAATACCGGCTATATAGTATAACTTTTCCAGCGGTGTAGGGTGTGACATTCTGTGATGATATGGTATGTCTCATTAAGAGCCACATCTACTGTTTTAATGTGGGCATGCGTACTCAACAGCAAAGTAGCAAAGTACAAGAACAGATGTCTTCACTGTGTCTGGTTGTGATCCCCAAGTTGTTCCAATCAGATTACGTATGATATTATTTCTAGCATCAGCTTGCAGCATGCAAACAAACATTAACAAATGATGAATGGGCAGTGATGTTGATACAGATGGACACACACAGAAGATAAAATCTATGTTCCTTATTTTTGCTATCTAAATTATGCAAGTCTATAGGTATGGCATTCTTGATTTTCTGTATTTATTTTAACACGTTAGGAACATTTAATAGACCTCTTTTCAAGACAAGGTTTTACATATCCTTGCTGAACAACAAATGATCATTGGTTATAACAAGCAATTTATTGTGCAAATTAAATGATCATTAGAACTGTGTTTCAGCTCACAAACTTGCAGTACTAATGAGTCCACGGTGCAGTCTTTGTCCATTTTGCTTTTCTGTTCCAGTAGTGCTTATGGACAACACCAAGAAAAATGCAGGGAACAAAATCAACCTGTGTACATGGCATTCATTGACCTTGCAAAGGTATTCGACACAGTGAATCGCAATGCTCTCTGGACCATCCTCCAAAAAATCGGGTGCCTTAATAAATTTGTGAACATCCTGCGGCTCCTCCATGATGACATGATAGCAACAGTCTTGGACAGCAATGGCTCCCAAAGTGACCCATTTAAGGTGGAATCAGGCGTCAAACAGGGATGTGTTATTGCCCCAACTTTATTCTCCATCTTCATCGCTATGATACTTCACCTTGTTGATGGGAAGCTTCCAACTGGAGTGGAAAACATCTATCGGACAGATGGCAAGCTGTTTAACCTCAGCAGACTGAAAGCCAAAACCAAGGTTACAACAACATCCATTATAGAACTCCAGTATGCTGATGACAATATCATCTGTGTGCATTCAGAAGATCTACAAACCACTCTAAACATCTTCACAGAAGCATACGAGAAGCTCGGCCTGTCATTGAACATCGGGAAAACCAAAGTGCTGTTCCAGCAGTCACAAGCCAACCCCTCTCCAATGCCAGAGAAACACCTTAATTGGAAAATGTTGACCATTTCTGCTACCTTGGAAGCCACTTCTCCACCAAAGTCAACATCAACACCGAAATGCAAC